TTTGTCTGCCTCTCTCTCTCTCATTTTGTCTGCCTCTCTCTCTCTCTCTGTCTGCCTGTCTCTCTCTCTCTCTTTTTCTACCAATGGATGCATCTTACCACTTTCTGCAGCCGATTGGCTCGTTCTTTTTTTCCTTTCTTTCTATTTTTTTAACTAATTTATATTCTTCTCTCAATCTCGTTTGTATATATTTTCCTCATCTATCTCATCCTCTCGCTACTCTATGCATAGTACGGGGGAACACCAACCAAACCTGCAACTCTCTCCAACCCATGGGGTAGGTTGGCACCACAGCAGTGGTGCGAGAGCAAGGCTTATATCAGCCCCTAATCACGATGATGCGGGGTGATCAGTCCTTGCTGATGGGGGAAACCAGCGATACTAGTGCCGAGCATCTTTGGCCAGTCACTCACACCTTCCCTTCCCCCCCTCCAACCCCACATTAGTGGTGTCAAATGGCCACTAGCATTGCTGCATGGCAACCAACAATACTGGCCAAGGTCCTGCCAATTCTGACTTGGAGGGCCAACAGGTTATCTCTAGCTGGTAGAACACCAAGCTTGCCCAGGCACGTGCGTGGGGTTTCCTGAATGCGACTTCTGTGCCTTGCCATTCTCTTTTCTCTTCGGCAGTGGTGTGGCGAGCCCCTCACTTGCACCCTGTTGCACCAACGAACACGTCGGGCCTCGCCACACCACTGTCGAAACGAAAAAAATACGAGTGCATTTTCCGCTGAGCGTGGCAAGATGCATCGCTACTACGAAAAGCAACGGATGCATCTTTCCCCTTTCTGGGAAAGATGCTCCTTCTTTCTTTTTCCGTTTCGACAGTGGTGTGGCGAGGCCCTATGGGTCTCGCTTCACTACTCACCACATGTATAAAAGAGAAAAATAAAAGACAAAAATAAAAGACAAAAACAATGGCGTTATGTCTTTCCATGTTCTAACGGAACGGAACACTCGCTCATGTCCTTCGGGACATCCGTTAAAATTGGAACGATACAGAGAAGATTAGCATGGCCCCTGCGCAAGGATGACACGCATAAATCGAGAAATGGAACAGTTGCTCATTCTCGTTTCGGACAAGTGGTGAGTTGTCGAGCGAGGCCCACACGCAGGCATAAACCACGGCACCCAGACACGAGGAACCACGTACGCTACCCTCGTCCCCCGAGCATAACACACCCTGAAAATGAACGTATGCAAGGCATGTTTCCGGCCCGATGCAGTCAAAATGAGGGTGCGTTGTGTTCGGGGGAAGACGCAGGGCACACATCGTGGCGCCCATCGTAGTAGTACACACCCACTTGAACAACAGAGATGTCCGCAGGCAGGCACCCATCGCGGCCTGTCTCAAGCACACATGCACTCAAACGTCCAGACATCCACACACATGGACACGCAGACGAAGGCGGGGACGGAGGCAATGTACAGGGGCTAATCGCGGGGATCGGTGGGAGGGAGAAATTAAAGAAGTGATGAAGGCGATGGGAGGAGGGAGAGGGGGTTGCAAGCATGAGGAGGAGGAGGAGGAGGTGGTTGGAGAGAGGATGGCGGAAGTTGGGAGCAGGAGAAGGGGGATAAGGAGCGGGTGTCGCTCTTTTCACCGCTCCGGCCACGGATGATCTCGTCAGGTACGTCCGCCTCCTTCCCCTTACTTCCCCCCCCCCCCCCCCCCCCCCCCCCCCCCCCCCCCCAATAATCGAGACTGCAAGCCGAGCAGAAACGGCGAACGATCGTAGTGAATTACTATTGACTTTAGTTACTATTTAAATTAATATTATTTACTGATTAAGGATGCAAATACGATCTCGATTGACGAATTCAAGGAGAACGGACGCGCAAGAAGTATGTATTGTAAATGGAAAAAGAAAGAAGAAGTTCGTCAACGAGCAGGTTTGCTGCAGTGGATGGAAAACGACAAGATCGAAAAAGCGCCACTGCAAGAACGGAGGAGGAGGGGGGAGAGCCTTGCTGTCCTCAGCAGAGTGTCCGATTGCCAAGCAGTCGGTGTCGGAGCTGTGCCCGTCAGGTTGATCGCCCGTATGACCGAACATTATGGAGTGGAGAATGTGCGGCATTGGGAGAGAGGTGCGGCATGTCAAATCAGAAGCGTAGAATACGTAGAGCGTGGGCGAGATGTGCGGCATGCCGGAATTTTGAGTGCAGTGTGTGTCAGGTTGCTCGGCCGCATTAAGGAGTGGGGAGTGTGCGGCATTGTGAGGAGGGAATGTGCGGCATTGTGAGGAGGGAATGTGCGGCATTGTGAGGAGGGAATGTGCGGCATTGTGAGGAGCAATGTGCGGCATTGTGAGGAGCAATGTGCGGGGTTGTGTGGAAGGAGTGTGTGGGGTAGGTATTGTGGGGAGGGAATGTGCGGCGTTGTGGGAACTCGAGGGAAATGTGCGGCACTGCGAGGGGGGGGAGGGAAATGTGCGGCATGTCTTACAGTGAGAGCTAGTGCGTTGGGAAGATGTGCGGCACGTTGGGACGAGTGCGCTGTGGCCTGTTGTACTCGGGAGAGTAGTAAATGTGCCGCACATATACGACACGCTGCAGGTGTGACGACGTTCGTGTACGTGTCAGGTTGGTGGGAATGTTGAGTGTGTCGTTGACGACAACGCATGCAGAGGATGGGAGTAAAAACCCTACTCTACTCTCGAGGGGAAAGAGTGGATGGGCTCGCTGCAGAGCGTGGTGGACGCTCGAGGCAAATGGTAAAAAAAAGCCAATGCCACGTGTGCTTTGGATGGATCATTTGTGGGTGTGCGGGCTCGTTGATGTCTGGCGATGGGGCGGAGAGACGATGACAGCCCGACAAACTGAATCTCAATGGGGGCATAAAGTTGGTTGGCTGTGCTAGGTGGAGGAGGAGAAGAGGGCGCGACCGTGGCGCGCCTGCGCGTAACAGAGAAACCGCTCAGCAAACGAGATAGCTAGGTAGTTTTGGTCGATGCTTGGGGGTGCGCCAATGTGTTGACGTCAACAGATTGAGAGCACTTGTGTGAGGAGGAGAAGGGGGGTGGTTGAATGCGCGGGGCGTTCTCGAAGGGTAGTTGGATGTGTGAGGAGGAGGATGGGGTGGGTGGGGGTGGGTGTGAGGGTAGTACTTGTGTGCACGGCTTGTAGAAGGGGAGCTGCAGCGGGAGGGAGGGGGTTTAGCAAGCATCGCCACGAGTACTTTTCACCGGTTCTCTTTCGGTTTGGGGAGGGGGGTGTAGAGAGACTCTGAGATGTTTGACGCAGTGGCGTCGTTTGTGGGCTGGCCTACGGAAGGGATGTCGGAGTTTGTACGTTCTTACTTGACGAACATAATGTAGCCCTCACTTTGAAGTGTCTAATAAGCACTACCGTCTTCACCCGAATAGAACGCCCGGTCATTACAGCCGTATGGTTCAATTTTTTGTACACGGCGATAATGACCGGGCGTTGTATTTGGGCGGAGACGGTAGCACCCGAAACGTTGCTTGACAGTACATGCAGTCATGCTGAAGGTGCGATTGCGTGCAGGGGAAGAGGGTAGGTAAGGTGGTAGTAACATGAGAGCTGCAATGGCTCCGATTGATGGGGAATGGTGAGAGAGGGTTGGGTGTGGAGGAGGGGGAGGGGAGCAGGCGGGGAAAGATGGGAGAGGAGGAAGAAGAGGAGGGGTTGGTGAAGGACGTGTGCCGCTACGCAGCCGGCTTGCGGTCTATCCCCGATGCCCTGAGGGAGTTGAGATCGAGTGAGAGCACCGTACGTTCTCTGAATCTTCATGGCAACTTCATTGCCAAGATCGACGGCTTGGCGGCCCTGGTTAACCTGACAGAGCTTAACCTCTCTTCTAACGAGATTGTACGCATCCGAGGCTTGTCGGGACTAACGAACCTGACCAGCCTCAACTTGGCAAGCAACCGGATCGCAGCAATCACAGGTCTGGACGGTCTCGTGTCACTGCGACGATTGATACTGTCTCACAACGGGATCTCAAGTCTGAGCGGCTTGTCGGCTCTCCATGGGATGACCTACTCCCTCCAGACTCTGGACATGCGGGACAACTGTATCTCGTCTTTGTCTGAGCTATGGGCGCTCGCAGGATTGCCGCACCTAAGAGTGGTCGTGTTCAAAGCAGGGGGCAAAGATAACCCGATCTGTGGCATGCTCGGGTACCGAGCAGCAGTACTGGCAGCAGCCCGGGGCTTGTGTAGCCTGGATGGTTCCCCCGCCGACGAGATCGTGCCAGAAAGCGCGGGAACGTCAGGTCCCATGACCACCGGAAAGGCCGCAAGCCTTCCCGCCTGGACCGGCTTGTATCGAGCAGAGGAGGAGGAGAAAGGAGAGGAGGAGGAAGAGGAGGAGGAAGAGGTGGTGGCGGGAGTTAGTGGCTGGTACGATGATCACGTCACGGCAGCAGGAGAGCGTGTTGCAGCAAGAAGCGCAGCAGGGCCAGCAGCAGCAGCAGGAGGAGTAGGAGGAGGAGGAGGAGGAGGAGGAGGAGGAGGAAGAGGAGGAGGAAGGGGTACGAGAAGAAACGCACGAGAGGTGAGGAGAGGGGAGAACGTCGGGCAAAGGACTGTTGAAGGTATGGAGGAGGTTCGGAGAGAAGGAAAAGGCACGGTGATGATGATGACGAAGCGGCCCATGCTGCGGGCAAGGATAGGTGATCCGACGACCAGACAGAAAGCGCTGGTTCCTTCGGCGGAACGTGGGGGTAGTGCCACGTGGCGAGGCCGGTCGGTGATCGAGAGTAGCCGCAGTAAACTGAAGGTCCCAGTGTCCAAGAACGGAGAGTGGAACTCGAAGAGCAATGCGGTGGCGTCCTGCCGGTTGCAGATGGATGGCGGGGGGGGGAGGGAGGAAGGTCAGCCGGCGGGACTCAACTTGAAGCTGCAAAGAGTAGATCAAGGTGATAATGATCACGGAGACGGTGATGATGATGTTGAGGAGGAGGACGATGTAGGCGGCGAGGAGGAGGAGGAGGAGCAGGCGGAGAAGGAGAAGGGTAATCGGAAGGGAGGAAAGAGGGGTAGTAGCCGTGTGGGACCCAGTCTTCCAACGACTGAGCCCGTGGTGATGCCGCGAGTTGATGAGGCTTTGAGGGCTTTCCATCGTCGCATGATGATGAAGAAGCTGAGCGGCCACGTGGGGGAAGATGACAGGCAGAGATCGACGACAGAGAAAAGGCTGCAGGTTCTTGAGACTAGAGTGCTGACATTATTTGGCAGGCTGATGAGAGAGAGAACTGGGCAGGTGAGGAGGTCTCTGAGGACGAGAAAGGGTGCAGAGGGATGGGCCGAGGAGGAAGAGGTGGAGGAGGAGGGGGAGGGGGAGGGGGAGAGGGAGGGGAGGAAGGAAGAAGAAGAACAACATGAATTGTTTGGTGGTCACGGGGCGAACGCTATCGGTGATGCAAGAAGAAGAGCAACCCCAGACAGGAGGAGGCTGGTAAGTCGTCGAGGAGAGGGAGGGGGAGGAGGGAGGGTTGAGGGTGTCGCAGGGCAATGCAGCAGAAAAGAGAAGTCAAGAACGCTGTTTGACGGTTATCTCCCCGGCAGTTGCTCCTGCCATCAAGATCGGTCTGTAGCTGAGACAAGAGGAGTCGGGGAAGGAGGAGGAGGAGGGGGAGGAGGAGGAGGAGGAGGAGGAGGAGGAGGAGAGGAAAGAAGGAAGAAAAAGAACAAGATAGAAGGCACAGAAGAGAGGGAAGACGTGAGTACGAGTATTGAAGGTGAAGAAGATATACTTAATGAGGAAACCGGCCAGCGAGGGAGCGGCACGTGGCGAAGAGGGAGAATGCTTGCAGACTCTGGTGCTGCTAACAACACCACGACTGTGTCTACGGTTGCGGAAGGCGAGCACCGAGGTATTGGGGAAGATGAAGGCGCTACGGAGGGGAGGAGGAGGAGGATGTTAGGTGCGCACTACTTATCAGTAAGGAGAGGAGGCGGCGCAGGAATTGTGGGTGCAGAAAACGGTGAGAGAAGAATGGCAAGAGAGGAAGCGGGAAGAGAAGGAGGGGCAAGGGAGGGGGAAGGCGAAGAAAGACGAAGAGCGGGAGGAGAAAGAGGAGGAGGAGAAAGAAGAGGAGGGGAGAGTGCCCACTACTTATCAGAAAGGAGAGGAGGAGGCGCAGGAATTGAGGGTGGTGCCGAAAACGGTGTGAGAAAAACAGCAAGAGCGGAAGCAGGAGGGGAAGGGGGAGGGGGAAGGGAGGGGCGAGGCGAAGAAGAAAGACGAAGAGGAGGAGAAAAAGGGGGTGAGAGAGGAGGAGAGAGAGGAGGAGAAGGGGAAAAAGGGACTCCTGTACTCCGAGCACGTGGAGGATATGCGTATAGAGACGGAGATGGCGAGGTGAAGATGATAGAGAGCCTTCAGGAAGAGGTTGCGAGTTTGGAGGGTAGAATGGTAAGTATGCAGGAGGAGATGGAGGGCAAATTGAGAAGCTTGGATGATCTGCAAGGGAAGGCGAAACGGGAGTGTGAGGAGAGGGACGCAGAGATCAAGCGGTTGAGGGAGAAGTTGCTAGAGACTGATAGCGAGTTGGGACGGAGAAGAGGAGAGGTGGATTCTGTTCGGGTGGAGATGGCGGAGAAGAGAAGGCAATGGGAGTGCCGAGAGAAACAGCTAGCGGCGGAGCTGTCTGATCTTGGGGAGAGGCTGAGGGTCACCGAGGCGGACCTGCGTTCGCAGCAGAGGTTGGTGGGTTACATGGAGAAAGATGAGAGGGAGGCGATGGGTAGAGATCGAGAGGTCCGGCGTAGTGTGTTGGAGCATGTCAGAATTGAAGTGTTGCAAGCAAGGAAGGCAAGGGAGGAAGCAGAAGAGGGGAGGAGAGTGGCGGAAGAGGCTTTGGCGCGCAGTGAGTCTAAAGTTGTGGTCTTACAGGACAGGCTGGCGGAGATGTCCACCGCAGCGCAGGAGCTACGTGCAAGGTGCAGAGAGGATGCCAGAGAGCGCAATCAGCTTCTTTTAGAGAAGGAGGCTATGGCGAAGGAGAAGGAGGGGATGACGAAGGAGAAGGAGGCTATGGCGAAGGAGAAGGAGGCTATGGCGAAGGAGAAGGAGGAGGGAAGGAGAATGGAAGCAGCGATGGACCTGGCTCGTAAGGAGCATGAGAAGGCGGTGAACCAGCTGAGGAGAGAGGTGGAGGAGTACAAGGCAGCGCTCGTGAGGCAGTGTGAGGTCGCCGAGCAGCGAGGGAAGCTGATAGCAGAATCGGATATGGCGGGAGCGAGGAAGAAGACGGAGACCAGAGCCGCCAAGGCCGAGAACGAGCTCAGGTCAACCTTGCAGCGGCACGCAGAAGAGATGGCGAAAGCCCGCGAAGAGGCGACTGGCCTGCAGTCGCAGGTGATGCAGTTGAAGAGAACACTAAAGGCGCTGATTTTGAAAGAATCTCGCGCAGAGGTGTTAGTCGCGGAATTGACTGAGGTGGTGAGCACACAGAAATCACAGCTACAGAGATTGAAGAGAGAGTACGAGGAAGGCAAAGGCGCGGCCTTGGAGGAGGTCCAGGCTCTGCGTGACGAGCTGAAGAAGAGGCGGTCTGACGCAGAGCGTTCTGAGTCTCAGGCGGCACTGGAGATGAAGGAGCTTAGAGCGGCTGTAAAGAGCGCAATGGCGGGAAGACAGTCTGCGGAGGCAGAGGCGGCAGCAGCCAGATCGGCGGAGGCAGAGGCATGTGACCAAATCCGCCGATTGCAGGAGGAGAGGGATTCCCTGCATGCCAACTTTCAGCAGGCCAACGATGCTGTCAGGATCAAGAATGCCTTGCTTGATAGCCAGAATGCCACCGTAGCCGAGCTCAAGGCGGAGATCAGTAAGCTGAAGGAAGAGCTGCGCGGCGCGAAATTGGAGGGAGAAGCTGCAGAAGCGCAGTGGCGGGAAAGGTTTGACAACGAGGTCGAGCAAGGTAGGGCTTTGAGAGAGGAGTTGCTGGCGGAGGACAGTGCCATAGTTGACCTGCAAGAGAGATTGCGCGAGGAGCGCGCCCTGAGGATCGAACTGGAAGAAGGATTGAACGAGCTGCGAGCGAGGGTGAAGGAGAAGAACAGCCTTCTGAAGTTTGTTGAAGAGGAGGTGGCGACGGTGAAAGAAATGTTCCAGAAGAAGGAAGAGGCAGTCTTGGCGCAGAGAGACGAAGCACTGCGCACCGCCAAGAAGGCTCAGTCGGAGTTGGAAGACAACATAGCCAAAGCGGACGCGCGGTTGGCGGACGCGTTAGCCTCCGCAAGAAGGGAGCACGAGTTGGAAACGACAAGCAAGGTCAAGAGTCTAGAAGCTGAGCTTGCAGAAAGGGATGCCGCCATCGCCAGCGCGGAGAAGCGTGTGCAACAGGTGGAGGCAGAGATGAGAGTCCTCCTCCTCTCCATGGACAATCAGAAGGCGGCATCGACAGCTAAGCTGCATCAGCTCAGCCGGATCATTAAAGAACTGCAACAGACTTCTTCGCTTTCGCTCGACTTCACTTGAGTCCACTTGACGCTACTCCAAACAAACCTTTTTGACAGTTGGTATGCACGGGCCTGCAGAGAGAGAAATGACCGGCACCTCTACCACGCATGTCCCTCGCCCGATCCCGTGAAGGGCGCAGATCACACTAGAGGAGGGAATGCGTTTAAATGGGGATATCATTTCTGTATCTTCCCCCTCTCTCTGCGTTCAGTCTCTCTCTCTCTCTCTCACTCTCTCTCTCTCACGTGTGTATGCGCGCACGTGTGTGTGCGTGCGTGTGTGCATGCATGTGCGTGCATGCGTGTGTACGTGCACGTGCGTGCATGCGTGTGTACGTGCATGTGCGTGCATGCGTGTGCATGCCTGCATGCGTGTGTACGTGCATGCCTACATGCGTGTGTACGTGCATGCCTACATGCGTGTGTACGTGCATGCCTACATGCGTGTGTACGTGCATGCCTGCATGTGTGTGTATGTGCATGGCTTTATGCGTGTGTACGTGCATGCCTGCACGCGTGTGTACGTGCATGCCTGCACGCGTGTGTACGTGCATGCCTGCATGTGTGTGTACGTGCATGCCTGTATGCATACGTACTTGCGTGCGTACGTGCATGGGTGCATGCATATTCCATTTCTTTGTTAGCTTCAGCGAGTGTAACGTAAGGTACCCTCAGTCAATCATCTTGATCTGATTCCGTTTGTTTTTTGATCAGGTGATTGATTAGCTCATTAGTTCTCTTAGATAATGATAAATAAGTTGTAACTACTATCTTTTTTTCAACTGTTTTTGTTAACTTTTAGTGTATTTCACTTTGTTGTCACTTAGACTTGGCCGTTAAGCTACTTAGTTGGATTTCTAAGTCATTGGTCCATTGTTCATTTGGTTAGCTGTTGGTGAGCTGTACACCTAAGCCGTCAGCTATAACTATAGCAGTTAGCTGTAGATACAGATATAGCTATATAGCTATGTACAGGTCTGCTAGCTATGGATATAGCCATAACTATGTACCACTTTAGCTGCAGTTATAGCTATATCTATGTACGGCAATGCACCTCTCTAGTGCATCGTTGCAATGTAAACACCCCTGTAGTGCATCATCAGAATGTTAACATTCTTGTAGCACATCCGGGCTGAAGATGTCGTGAACGGAGTGAAAAATTGGGTTGCTGGAAGGGGTGTGTGGGGAAAGGCCGGTGGCTGGTGGCTGGCCGTGTTTGGCCCGCAGGAGAAAACTTTGGTGAACTGGTAGTTCCTGTCTGTTGCTCTGCGTGAAGACATGAGGGGCCACAGTCTGGCCAACCTCAGCCTGTAGTTGTATTTGACTGGTGTGTAACTGCTGTTGCTGTGGCACCGTGTTCCAGTCTGTGACATGTGATCGGGTTGTGCAATTGCACACATCGGGATTACATGTGTCGCAGTTCGATTGCATGAGCTGGGGCATGGATGTTCGGATGTTGTTGTGCAGTTGCAATGGAATGGGCACGACAAAACGATTGCTGATGATGACAGGGGGAGAGAATCAAACAGGTGGAGAGAGAGAGAGAGAGAGAGAGAGAGAGAGAGAGAGAGAGAGAGAGAGAGAGAGAGAGAGAGAGAGAGAGAGAGAGAGAGAGAGAGAG